CTGCCAGGGGCTCTCAGCTCTCCCTGGAGCCTTCTCTTCTCCAGGGGAACCCCCCCAGCTCTCCCAGCCTGGCTCCAGAGCAGAGGGATCCAGCCCTTGGAGCATCTCCATGGCCTCTTCTGGATTCACTCCAACTTCACCCAAACCTGTGGCTTGTCTCCAAACCCTGCAGGACCTCCTGGCTCCCGTGGGAGGGCAGAGCTGGAGACCTCTGGAGCCCCTCAAGGAGGGTCAGGTGTGGGTACAAAGGTCTGGATTTAAACGCAGCTCCTTAAATGCAGAGGGTGGAGGAGGCTCTGGCTGGTGCTGATCAGGAATCCTGGAGCTGGTTGGGATACTTTGGATCCTGACACGTTTGGCAGGATCTCTTGGCAGCCTTTAAATCCGTGAGGGATGTCGAGTGAGTAATGAAACAAGCTCTAATTTTGCCCTGGATTAAATCCCTCCTTCCTGTTTTCAAGGAGTGAATCCACGGGACAGAGCTGGATTTGACTCCCACTGCAATTACTGCAGTTCCAGAAGCAGGGAATCAGCAGGAAACCCCCGTGGTGGTTCCTGACTCTTAGGATCAATTTTTGTTGTTTGATTGGTGCTTGTTTTCCCAGAACTGGGCTCGGTTACCCCTCCCAGACCCGAGGCCTTTGTGTCCTTCGTGTGCCCCCAAGACACGACAGTCAGAGGGTGACTAATTCCTACGAGCCAGAACAGGCTGGATCCCTGCCTGAGGCTCCCTGTGTTCCCAAAAACACGAGCCCTGGCCTTGCACAAGACTTGCTCGGGGTCTGAACCCATGACAGGCCTCCCTGGGCATGGAGAGATCACGTGGGAGCGGAGGCGAGGGGAGGGACAGCAGGGAGGTGATGTGAAAAGCTTCCTCTGGGAATTGTCACTTGGAATTTCCTTGCTCTCCTGAGGTGGATGGAGCAGCTGAACCGTCTCCCTTCCATCCCATATTCCCAGGAATCCCATCTGCAGGTGTGACTGCAGGCTCAGCTCCTGGCTCTTCCTCAGCAACGGTTTTAATGGGATAAATAAAAAGTGGATCCAGCTCCTGGTTGTTCCTCAGTAACATTTTAACAGGATAAACAAGAAGTGAATCCAGCTCCTGGTTGTTCCTCAGTAATGTTTTCAATGGGATAAAAAACAAGTGGATCCAGCTCCTGGTTGTTCCTCAGTAATGTTTTTAGTGAGATAAAAAACAAGTGGATCCAGTCCTGTAACATTTTTAGTGAGATAAA